TTTCTAATAGCTTTTTTTTTAATTTTTAATTTTAAATAATATTAATTATTTAAATTTATATAATAATTTTTAAAATTTAAGAAAAGTTAATAATATTTAATTATCTTTATTATAAAATATATAATATAAAAAAAGTTAATAATATTATTATTAAATAAATTAATAATATATTAAATAAATAAATAAAAATAAAATAAAATTATTTAACTTTATAAGATTTTTTTTAAAAATTAATAGTTATTTCTTATAAAAGCTATAGAAATCTTATAATAAAGCTTTATAATAAATCTTAATATATATAAGACTAGTTTAACTAAACTAGTAATACTTTAGTATTAATAATACTATAGTTTATAAGTTTTTAATTTAATAAAAGTAAAATTATATAAGTTTACTATTAAAAATTTTTTTTATATTTAGAGAATTAGAGCTTAAATAATATAATGATATTAAATAATATTAAATTTTATTTAATTAGAAGTGTAAGTATTTGTATGGATGGTGTGTGTATATGGAGGGGTTGAGGTCGAAAAATTTTAAAAGTTACAAATTTGCTACAGGCTTCCGTACAATACTAACTTTTGGAATCGAGGAATGCCGCTCGAGAACCCTCATCTTGGACACACCATTCTCAAATATGTATTAGATTAACTGTGAAAGGTTATGGGAATGGTCTCTCGAAGATGAACTAGAATCGTTGATGCTGTATTTCGCTGCTGTCGGGAAGGAGAAAGTCCCACAACGCTGGGACGGAGATGAAGCACGGGATACGGACATACCTTACGCAGGTATATTTTTGGCAACATGCTCCAGGCACACATGAGAGTCTTCGGTGTCGGCATCATTAGCTTTTCCTCCGCACGAAGCAATCTCTAGATCGGACATCTCATCCGTTCAGATCCCATCACCAGCTAACAGTCAACGGCCCTCGGAGACAGGGAAGGCCCGGTCAGACTCTCGCTTGGAACCGCCGACGCCGTCCGCATTGTGCAATGTGCAATGTGTCATGTATGTATGCGCGATGTGCAATGGTGCACAAGAGGACCTGAGGCTGGAGAATAAGACCACCACAAAACCTGAGTCCCAAACATCGAAGGGTTGCAGCAATGTGACTCGTGGACAAATCGGGCTTGGGCGTGCGCTACCACACTAGACAACACTAATATTATTAGTGCAGTAGTTTCCTGTAGCGCAGATGGTGCAGTGCGGTGGGCAAGTAGACGCAGCGGGGGAAACAGCAAAAGGGTCCGACTGGTCTACCAAGTCTCTCGGCAGCCAACTAGAAGAGAGAGTTGAGTGTCAATATTGGATCAGCATCAAACTCGTTGTCCATCCAAAGTAACATTGAATACCACGACCCCTACCACTAGTATAAACTACTTGTACACATACAGACGACAACCAGTGTACATAGTACCTCGGACTTGCAGAAGACCGAATACAAGCTCGTGGTGTGGAATGGCGATTCCGACGGCTCGCTTTGTGAAGAAACACTGGGAAAGAGTTGGACCACTTGGCGTCGGTACCAAGGACAAGGAACCAGTCGCATATCTATGACTCGATAGGTTTCCAGAACCAGAACCAGACGCGGACGCAGATGCAGACGCTGACAAGCAGCACGACACGTTGTCATTCTGGAAGTGGAAATGGAACTGCAACTGCCACTCTGATTAACACTCCCACTTGTTTACTACGCATAACTGCTGCTACCGTTGCAAATGAGGGGTTTCTTTCTCAATAAAGTCTGGCATTGGACTGGCGCATCCCTCCCCCACCACTAAGTCGTAAGCCAGAGGGTCCAGCCCATTTCGATTCCACCATGGCTCAACGAGTCAACGATAAGGATCAGTCCCGTTGAAGCGGGCCCAATCTCCTAATAGCTTGAAGTCTAGCCGGGCGCTGGATGCCCAAATTGGGAAGAAGAGCACGAGGGCCATCCATTCAATGGTCGATCCGTAAACCAAAGTAGCGTACTCGGTACACGATATTGATCCATCGTGGGCTTCGTCAGCCAGTAAACTCGTTACTGGGAACACCTTGACAGCTCAGCACGGAAGCCTTCTTACCTTCTTGCCTTCTTGCTTTCTTGCCTTCCTGATGCCCTCGTGACTAACCTCGTGACCTCGTCGAGTAGTACGAGTATTGAGGCGAAGAAGATTCTGACAATCATTCAGAGGCGACAGGACGACCACCTGGAGGCAAAGAGCACAGGAGATATGGGCAAGTGCTTGCTTCAGCGAATAAGGACGATTGATGAGCCGACAGAATTAATCTACCCCCTCTGAACTTCTGGACCGAGGGCAGCGGAAGGGGCATTGAGGGGGGTGAGCCGGAGCGAGAAATAGTTCGCAGTGTAATAATGGTTAGCGGGAGTTGCGTTGCATCGTCTACTTCGCACACCACTTCGTACCTCCCTCGTCTCGTTGGTTCGTCTCTCACCCGGCCTGATCAGCAGAATCTCTTTTCATCTTTTCTTTTCTCTTGGCTTGGATCTCGTGAACCTACACTGCTTCGTACATGAACCTGGACTGGACAGCCCTTTGCCAGCACATCAATAGTCGGGCAGAGATTCCCGAGCATCTCGATCCCATTGAACCATCAAACCTATCCCATCATTGATCTCTCTCAAGTCGTACAAGTAAACACATTGATCTCTTCTTCAAGTCCACGGCTCCCGTCCCCAGTCTCCCCTCCCCGGCCTGAAACTCCACAACGCGCGCCACCTTGATGATCCGTTGATCGTGTCGAAGGTCGAACCCTTCTAGATTTCATCGTCTCTAGTGTACGCCCGGCCACGTTTCCGTATATATTCTCTTCATTTCCGAGATTCGCCTTCGCCCTAGCTTCTTCACGCCAGTGGACAACATCTCTCGATATAATTGATCCTGTCTCTGAGGCTACCCTTCTCACTGGATCACCCTGAGCAAGTCATGTCATCCTAGCTCGTTCTCTTGCGTTACCACGTCCGATTCTCTTGTCTCTCAGTCGCCAGCTCCAGCTCCAGCTCTGGCTAGTTTTAAGCTCGCTCCTGCTTGGCACAGCTCTTCCCGTCTGTCGACTCCCCCCTGGCTCATCGCGCCCCCCCAGGAATTGTCGTCTAGTTGTCATCTGCCCCGCCGCACCCCGCGAACGATTCGAAGCCGTCGATCATGAATGCGAGGCATTTCGCCGCATCAATCCTCAACGTTTCCTCTTCCTCTCTCTATATCAACACCTCGTCTACATCCTGATCCTTCACCTGTTGACATCGGCTCGCCTTTCCATCTCATGACTTAACACCTAATACGGCCACGAAACCAAATTATTCCAAGGCGCCTAATATTAACCTGCGACCTCACAAAATCCACCATCATACACATTCCACACCATACCAGCGCACATCTATACAAACTCTATACTTTATAATTACCATAATTGAATTTTCGGTCTTATCCGGAGCATGATCAACCAAACCCTCCTCATGGCTTCTTCAACCACCTCCTCATCCAGCAGTGGCAGTGCCAGCGTCGCCGGAGGATCAACCGTCCATTCGCCGACCGGTGGAAGCCCTCACATCAAGACACCGAGCGGGGGTGGTGGAGTAGCCCCCGAAGTGGCCAAGGCGACCAGACAAGCGTGGAAGTGCGGATGCGGACACAGCAATCCTGTCGGCATCAAGACCTGCGGCACATGTGGGCGGAGATAAAACGCGCCGTCGAAGCTACTCTATTTTAATTTTCCTCAGGAACTCTCTCCTTCTTTTTATTTTCTTCTTTTGGCTTTGCCTTTTTTATGTCTTTTATTATTATCTTTTTTGCCCTCTTCACGATGAGATGAACTTGGATTCTTGGAGTTGGATTCGGAAAGGAACTTGGGAACAGGAATAGGTCGAACCGGGTTATTAGAGCTCTGAAAAAAAAAGAAGGAGAGGAAGAAAGGAAAAAAAGAAAAAAGGAGATACTGAAATGTTGCGCGCAGCATAGAGGAACAATACCCAAGACCCCCTCTACGCTTTACGAAGTAATTTCTTCATGTCTGTGTCTATGTTGTGGGAGGCAGCGTTGAGCTCTGGCGCGGGGAGGCCGATTGTGTGTTATGGTTTACAGAGTCGGAACAACTCCTCTCATCAAGCGTGTTTAGGGATCAATGATGGGTAGGAAATGGGAAGTTATAATTCTAAAAACGAACGTTAACACTTGATTCTTTCTTATGGTATTTATTTCTATTTTTATTTATTTATTTATTTATTTATTTATTTTTTTTTTTTCTTTCCCCCCCCCCCCCCAAAACACCAAAATCATACAATGCCCAGGAGATCTTAGATCTTGGCACCACGGTTAAAACTCCGAGAAACCACTTCGATTTCCATTCATCTCAACACGCTGTCTAAAACCTGGGCGGGTAATGCAAAACGGCGGGGGTTTTCGATCAAAAGGAAGGCCAACCTCAACAGGGCGTGGTGCATCTCCAACTGAGAGACTCATCGCAACTTTGAACTTTCTAGCCACTCCGAGGCTCTTCTTCCCCACGTGCTCCTTGGCGTGTCCCATGAACCTTCAAACTCACCAAGTCCCTTTTTAGCTTCTGCCGATCCCATCACAACGACCTGCATCGAGTGCGACGCTTCTAATTGCATCCGCAATAACTCTACACCGAAGCTTTTGTCGGTTAGCATTTTCCATCGGAGCATGTAACCATCCATTTCATAAATCAATCAACACTCATCATTGACTATTTCGCGCACAAAAGATCCCATCCCTAGGCCCCGCATATTTTCATCCTTCCCCCGACTTCCCCCCCCAGTGACCCGAGAGCGCTTCCCAACGTGCCGGGCCCGTCCCACGTGGTGTGCCGGGTCATCCGTTACGTGCAACTGGGGTACGGCATCGGCATGGGTGTGATATGGACCTGCCGGGCTGTTTAAGAACGTCAGGATGCCTACCTTGGCTTCTCGTCGGGTCGTGAGAGTGGCCACCATAGCGCTCGTACTTCTCGTCCTCTTCATCACTTACTACATCACCATGTTCTTCTTTTCCTCCAGAGGCACTACGGCTGCTCTGCTGGGTGCGGCGCCGTTGGTGACGGCCGCCGTGTCGGCTCAGGTGGACGTTGCCTGGCATCCTCCCTCGAAGACCGAGATCAATGACTTGGACAAGGTCCTCAGCGGTAAAGGTGTGTATGGCTTCATTTACGATTCATCCAACACACCGGATGATAAATATGGAAGCTATAATTGGTGCAACATGCCCCATGTGAGGAAACGGGAGTATGTGCGACCGTCGCGCGAGTATGAACTACAATATGTCGAACTGGTATGACAGACTTTGCCTTTTGTTGACGCAGGAAAAAGGTCTTAGATCGCAAGCCAGCAAAATTAACACAACTCTCTTCTGTTTAGATCCATCGCCATCATAAACGCACCCCTTATGCGTCGAACGCTTTCCCCGTGGAGTCTTACCAGTGGAACTGCGATGACATCGGCCTGTATTATCACGGTGAACCTTGGGAAGGACATGACCCGGCTCGCACGTATTGGCAGGGCTACATCTCTCCCGTGAACCCCTTCGTACCGTCCGGATGGATCGGTACCTGCCAGTTCCCTCAGATTACGGCTGAGGGACTCGACGACTCCTGGGTGCACGGGGCAGACCTTTACGGTGTCTACCATGACCTTCTCGGTTTCCTGCCTAGCAGGCGCGAGGACTGGACCAAGACGGTCAAGTACCGAGTAACCAACAACGTCATCACGAGCCAGGTTGCCGGCATGGTAGTAAACGGCATGTGGGGAGTGAAGAACCCCGTCCCGCTTCTGATTCAGGTACAGGACACCCGAACCCCGCCTCTTTTCCTCTAACTCGTGAAAGGTCTGTTGTTGCTTAAGATTTAATTCTCACCAACTTTCTCAGGCATCTGCCATTGATAGCCTCGAGCCCAAGTACTCCTGCAGCGCCGGCTCCAAAGCCTTCGACGCCATCAAATCCAGTGCCAACCCCGCCTGGAAATCCCACCTCGACTCCACCGCCTCCCTCTACGCCACCCTCGACGACATCTCTGGCGTGCCCCCCTCCGACGGCGGCTTCCATGCCTCGTTCGACCACTACTACGACAACCTCTCGGCGCGGCAATGCCACGCCAAGCCCCTCCCCTGCAAGCTCGTAAACGGTGTTAACAGCACCACGTGCGTGACGCAGGACCTCGCCGACGCCGTCTACCGCCTCGGAAACTGGGAGTACAGCCAGATGTACCGCGACGCGTCCACGTCCCTAGCCGCCAGCGTCGCGAGCTACGGGGTTTGGATCGCCGAATTGGCGGCGAATATCCGTGCTGCCGTAGAGGGGAAGAGTTCCGTGAGGTATCTGCATAATGTTGCGCATGACGGCTCGGTGTCTCGAGTTCTTTCTATCCTGCAGATTGATGGCATGGTTTGGCCTGGGATGGGTTCCGAGGTTGTTTTTGAGCTGTGGAGGAAGAAGAAGCAGGGTCACCGGCCTCGTGGGGCTGGTGAGGGAGGTCAGGCTGCGACGCCCGCGGGGCATGGAAGTGGAGGGAAGCCTGGTCATGGCAATGGGGGCAACGACGGTGAGAGTGAATACTTCGTTCGTGTCCTCTTTGGAGGAAAAGTTCTTAAGTCGTCGAGTCCGACGCTTGGAACTATGGATATGATACCCGTACAGACTCTGTTGGATTACTTCGATGGGCTGGTTGGCGAGAATGCTAGCTTGGTCAAGGGATTGTGCGCTTAAGATGCGCAAATAAGGATAGTAATGATAATATTAATAGACGTGCATGCATAGTATGACCCAATTGGCCATCCAAGATTGAATTCGAGGTGTGCGGCTCATTTTCACCTTCATCTCCCCCTTTGAAGTCGAAGTCGAGATGCTCAAGGATAGAAAGAGCCAATTCAACAATTTTACCCCACATCGTAGTCCGATATTGGGATCCAAGCAAACACGGACCGTCCCTTACACCAATCTGACCTGAATAAAAAAGGCCAAACTCCCTCAAAAGATCCACGCTTTTCGACCCCAGAAAGGAGGGAAACCCGTCCGGCTCAGGCGCGGTGGATCTTGGCGCATTGCAGTGTTGCATGTTTCAAGGATTTGCGTCCTTAGTCTCAATCTCCCCGGCAAGAGTCATCGGAAACGGCGGAGGGGGAATTCTTGAGAGCTAAAGCTTTCCAAGCTCCAAGCCCCGCCCCCAACTATGTAGACCCAGACGTGAATTCCGAGGCGCCAGTCCGAAGAACATAAAAAAAGCTTCTTTCACGACCGCAGACCTCAAGTTCGGAGCTTGGGAATTCAATTACTTCTCAAAAGACTGTTCCATTAGAGTTAAACTCTGTTCATAGTTCCTCAGAAAGAAAGAGGACAAACAAATCGCCGAAACCAAGTCTCTAGATTCTCCTTGTATAAGAAACATGTCCACCTTCACCACCCGCGTCGCCACCCTCGACGACTTCGACGGCATCACTGACGTCTATTTTGACGCCTTCTCGGGTGGCTACATCGGCTCGCGGTGCTTCCCGCGCCCACACCCCGAGACCGACGCCTGCTGGGCCAACTCCCTCAAGGTCTACCTCACCGACCCTCGCACGACCATGGTCGTCGTCACCGACCCGGCCTCGTCGCCTCCGCACCGCGTCATCGGCTTTGCCAAATGGACGGCGCCCCACACCGACGGCGAGGACCCTTACCCTGCCTCGGCCGATCCCCTCATGTCCGGACCCTGGCCGAGCGTCGGAGACACGGCGCTCGCGGAGGCATTCTTCGGAGGTATTGCTCGTAAGCGCAAGGAGACTATGGGAGACCGCCGCTTTTGGTTCTTGCATATCCTTGGCGTGCACTCGGCATATCAGGGCAAAGGCGCCTCGAGCTCCCTGTTGAGGTGGGGAGTGCAGAGGGCTGATGAGGCGAATCTGCCGTGCTATCTTGATGCGTCACCATTGGCCAAGCCAATCTATGAGAAGTACGGGTTCAGAGAGGTGGATCGCCTTATTCTTGGGGGTGGTGAGCTCATTGAGACTATGATGGTGAGGGAACCTGCACCAAGAGGGGAGGTAGAGGTGACGAAACCTTGAGCAATGGTTTTGTATTTTTATTTTTATTTTATTTTTTTTCTCGCTTCTCATTTCTTGTGGAAAAGGATTTCCGTGTCATCTCAGTCTTCACTCCACACCACTCTACACATTGTATTGTTCTCTTGTCGGTCTTGGGTCTTTGCATCTCTCTCTTCTCTTTCTCTCTCTATGTGTTCCTTATCTTGAGGCTCGGGTGACAAGACGGAAAAGAACAGGGGGAGATGCGCCAAGGCTTTTGGATTGGGTGATTCTTGTTGGAAATTTGCGTCGTCACCCATTTCCAATCCTTGGAATAAACACCTGCCCAGACCGAGTTAACGGCAAGCACACAAGCATCGGTGGCACTTCGCGGGGATAAATAGGACCGGCGGCCTTTCCATGTCCGAGGTATTCACGCTGCTGGTACTATCGCCGAGTCTCTTTTCCCGTTCCCGTCTGCCCTCGCCCTTACTTTTATCTTGTTTGACGATGCTTTCTTTCTAGTGACGCGTGATCAAGTCTTAGATCTAACCGTTGCTTTTCATTCCATTTTTTTACTCATTTGGCCGGTCTACTGTATATGACAGTCTACTGACCCGGCTATAGAACCAGTGTACCGGTTTCCGTGTCTTGCCATGATTCGGGTCACCTCTCATCTTTGGTTCATCACCATATCTTCGATATTAGCCGGACAACGTAGGCGATGCAAGAAGTGGATCTCTCATGGTATACAACACATCCCTTCTCACAGCAGCCCCGGCCGATTTATTACGCCACCATCTGCATCTTCCTCGTCCCATCTCACAGTGACGCTCGCCCATGCCACTTGATTGGACTAATCTACTCATCTCCTCCACCGATAACCTCCGAGCAAGGGAGGTAGGTACCTGAGAACCTCGAGCTTCGATCCGTGTACCAAGCACCCGCATGATCGAAGTTCACTACTCCTAACAAAATGGTGGGGGATGGTCGATCGGTGGCGGAAGGTGAGCCGGGACGATATCATGCAAGTGGTGTTAATCACCTTGTCGCCATGGACCTACATCTTGGCACCTACGAATATCCACCCATCGAGTTGATCTCTACATTCCTTGGCGCTCCACCAGGAATCCGTTCTTAGTAAGAGTTCACTTTGGAAGAATGCATCGAGATGCTCTCTTCCCCCTTTAACGAGCAAGTAATATCTAGTAGACGTGTATTTTCAATCCGGCGATGGAAGGGTTAAACTACCTATCCTAGGTTAGCGAGGCGAGGAGGGCTGCTTTTATATACAGGTTGCGTGAGCCGCCAAATACTCCGTCACTTGCTTTGGCGAGCGCTTCTCTTACTCCTTTCTTCGGGGTGTAGCCTTTTGCCAAATCGCGCAGTTTGAGCTTGTCCTAGAACCCTGTGCTTTATTTTCTCTGGCTTAAAGAAACATCTCAAAATGCGTTTGTCAACTGTCACGTCCGGCCTCATTGCCCTCGCGGGCTTGGGTAAGTTCCCCTTACCAGCGTACAGCCTGCGTGAAGACGTCTCGCGCCATATTGTCAAAGCAGAGAAATAGTATGCCAACATGTTTTTGCCCCAGTCCATGCGCAGAATGACACCGCAGAGATCGCCCCCATCCCCTTCCCAACCAGCTGCGCCGGGGTCCCCGCCAACCGATTCCCCTTCAAGGTCCACGCCGACTGGCAAGTCACCAAGATCCAGGGCAACCTCCAGCAGCCACGTGCCCTCGTCTTCGACAGCGCCGGCAACCTCCTCGTCCTGGGAAACAGGCAGGGCATCAGCATCCTCACCTTTGGTGCCGACGGCTGCATTGCCAGCAGCAAGCTACTCAGTCAGAACATCCGCTTCAGCCACGGTCTGAGTCTGAGCCCCGACGGCAAGAAGTTGTACGCTAGCTCTGAGACGAACGTCTGGTCCTGGGACTACGATGCCGCTACTCAAGCCCTCACCAACCAGAAGACCATTGTCAAGAACATGAGCACCGGTATCCACTTTACCAGGACCGTCCATGTCGTACCTCACAAGCCGAACTTGATCATCGTGTCCGTCGGCAGCAACTCTAACTTTGATATGAATGCTGCCAACATGCGTGCCACTGTTAGGGTCTTTGATGCTGACACTGCTCCCGCTGATGGTTGGGAGTACAATACCCAGGGGCACCAGCTTGGTTGGGGTCTCCGGAATGAAGTCGCTCTCGCTTTTGACCCCAACGGCCACGTTTGGGGTGCTGAGAACAGCGGTGATGTACGTTCCTTCCTCGCCCCGGGCTCTTGTTTTCCTTCCTTTTTAGGTTTTCCAGGACAAGTGGAAAATGCACTACTGACAGCCCGGAATGCAGGACTTCCGGCGAACCGTCAACGGCCAGTCCACGGACATCCACATCGACAACCCTGCCGAGGAACTCAACTATCGTAAGTCCATAGAATAAGGCCCCGAAAGCAACTTTCAGCACCTGTTCCTACCTCGCAATCCTAGTTGATCTTTGCTAACATCGTTTACTAGTCGGTGACCCCGCCATCCCCAATGAGAAATGGTACGGCTACCCAACCTGCTTCACCGTCTGGGACCCAACCGTCATCCGCGACGCCTCCTTCAAGACGGGCGACCAATTCGTCGTCTCGCCTAACGCCCAGTTCGACGACGCGCGCTGCATCCAAGAGTCCGTGCCGCCCCGCCTCTCCTTCCAAGCCCACAGCGCCCCCATCGACGCCGTCTTCGACAAGCCGGGCGAGAACCTCTACATCACGTTCCACGGCTCGTGGAACAGGCAGCCCGCTACCGGTTACTCCGTCGTTCAGGTCCCCTTCACCCAGCTTGAAGACGGCATTTATGACCCCGCCGCTCCGCCTGATAGCATGTCCGGCTATACTGAGATCTTTGGCGCCCAGAACCCTGGCGCTTGCCAGTCGATGAGTTTGACTATGAGTACTTGCTTCCGTCTCGCGGGTATCACTTTTGATCCCTCTGGTACGAACCTGTATGTTTCTAGCGATAACCAGTCTGAGGGTGAGCTATGGGTCCTCAAGAAGAAGTCGGCGTAAGGAATGAAAATAAACTCTCGCCGTTTTTGGACATCCTTTTCCCTTTTCTCTCCTGCCTCCATCGTTTTCGGTTCTCTCAGGGATGAGCACATGATTGAATGCGTTCAAGTGTATATATTGACGCCGTACGACATACACTGTGGTCGGCAAAAATGTCAAATATCTAGACGAAAATTAAGTAGCACATATCAATAAGTATATCAAGCAAGACATGAGAGACTGAACAACCAACAGCTCCGGGTTTTGGAGAAGATCATTTGATCTCTTGGTTTCTGAGGATGTGAGGATGAGGAGGTCGAGCGAAGAAATGCAGCTGCCAACAATTGCTCAACCCTTTGCTGACTAAGCTAGACGTTCAGCGAAAGCCCCCGCCAAACCCCACTAAGAATCTGGACATTCAGTGCCACGCACCTGCGAAGGACGACCAACTTCCAATTACGATTGTATTGGTGTGCTCGTCTTCTCCCGCACCCAAAGCAAACTGCTCAACTTAACGGTCCCACGAACTCCCGATCGAGTACTGAGCTGATTCCATCCAATATATCGTCATGGTTCTTCAGGATCTCGGCCGGCGCATTAGCAGCGCCGTGCATAACCTCAATCGAGAGGCGAATCTCGATGAAAAGGTACGCTACATCTAAGCTTCCCACACTCTTTGCCATACATCCTTACTGACAACTCCCGCAACCACAGGCCTTCGATGCCATGCTCAAAGAGATATGCGCCGCCCTCCTCGAATCCGACGTCAACGTCCGCCTCGTGGGCCAGCTCCGCAAGTCCATCCGCGCAACCGTCAACTTCAAGGAGCAGCCAACGGCGGTCAACAAGAAGCGCCTCATCCAAATGGCCGTCTTCAACGAGCTCGTCAAGCTCGTCGACCCCCACGCCGAGGCCTTCCGACCCAAGAAGGGCAAGTCCAACATCATCATGTTCGTCGGTCTGCAGGGCGCGGGTAAGACGACGACGTGTACGAAGCTGGCGAGGTACTACCAGACGAGGGGTTACAAGGCGTGTTTAGTCTGCGCGGATACTTTCCGTGCTGGTGCGTTTGATCAGTTGAAGCAGAATGCTACAAAGGCCAAGATTCCGTACTACGGTTCCCTGACGGAAACGGATCCTGCGGTCGTTGCGAGGGATGGTGTTGAGAAGTTCAAGAGGGAAAAGTTCGAGGTGATCATTGTGGATACGTCGGGTAGGCACAGGCAAGAGTCGGCGCTGTTCCAGGAGATGGTAGACATCCAGGCAGCCATTCGACCCGACGAGACCATCATGGTGCTGGATGCTTCGATAGGTCAGCAGGCTGAGGCTCAGGCAAAGGCGTTCAAGGAGGCGGCTGATTTTGGTGCCATCATCATTACGAAGACTGACGGCCATGCCAACGGTGGTGGTGCCATTTCCGCCGTCGCCGCGACACATACCCCCATCGTGTTTATCGGTACGGGTGAGCACATGCTAGACCTCGAGCGATTCGCACCGAAGCAGTTCGTGCAGAAGCTCCTGGGCATGGGTGATATCGCGGGCCTTGTCGAACATGTGCAAAGCCTACGTCTCGACCAGAAGGATACGATGAAGCACATCGCCGAGGGTATCTTTACAGTTCGCGATTTACGAGACCAGCTCTCCAACATTATGAAGATGGGCCCTCTGTCCAAGATGGCGGGCATGATCCCCGGAATGAGTAACATGATGCAAGGCCTAGACGACGAGGACGGAAGCGCTAAGCTAAAGCGCATGATTTACATCTGCGATTCCATGACGGACAAGGAACTCGACTCCGACGGCAAGCTTTTCATCGAGCAACCTACAAGGATGACGCGTGTGGCTAGGGGATCCGGCACCTCCGTGCGCGAGGTCGAGGATCTGCTAACACAGCAACGGATGATGGCGGGCATGGCCAAGAAGATGGGCGGCAACATGAAGAACATGCAGAGGGCGCAGGCTGCCATGGCCGGCGGCAACAAGGCTCAGCAACTCGCCGCGATGCAGAAGAGGATGCAGAGCATGGGAGGTGCAGGTGCGGGCGGCATGCCCGATATGGGTAGTCTCATGAAGATGCTCGGCGGCGGTGGGATGCCTGGAGGGGGTGATATGCAGGCCATGCAACAGATGATGAAGCAGATGGGTATGGGCGGTGGTATGCCTGGCATGCCAGGGGGTCCAAGGAGGCGCTAAGATGGAGTGGCGGGTCAAGATCATAGGAGGGGAAGCCGTCGGAGCGAATCCTTTATTATTGGATATGTCGACATGATGAAACATAACATTACCACTGGAATGAATCATGGTATGAAGAGGTCAATAGTGGATGGCATTTGGCATGGCGTTTAGGGATTCTGGAGGCTAGTAAGATTTTTAATATTGCACATTCAAGTCATGTCACTCTCGATGAGAACAGTGTTATGGCTATTGTTGTTGGGCTTTATTACTTGGCATTGCATTGCTGCGATTCGTGAACTCGACTTCGTTTCTGCCTGGCATTCTGGGGGGTGCGGGGCGGTCATTTCCTCTCAATCTAGGGGCGAATGTCTCTTATCCAAGACACACTGTTGGGGTTAGTAGAGGTGTTAGATCTCTGCAGTTTAAACAGTTAGCACCTCAAGCTTCCCAGAGAAGGATGCATAAAAACTGGGGTCTCGAAGAGACATGATGAGACCTACTCAGCTCCTTAGCCAGCGCCTCAGCGACACCCCTCGCCGACGCAGGGTTCTGCCCAGTGATGACATGGCCATCAACAATGACCTTCTCCCCCCACGGTTCACTGGCCTTCTCGAACCCTCCGTCGCTCTTCTCATTCAGGACCTTCTCGAGCGAGAACGGCATATCATCAACGAACTTCATCAGCTCCTCTTCCACGTCACTAAACCCCGTAACCTTCCTCCCCTTCAGCATGGACCGCGTATCCGGGCCGTGAACATGCGCGAAAACAACGGGACCGTGGCACACCGCGGCAACGGGTTTCCCCTTCGCGTACATTTGACTGATGATCCTGATCGAATCTTCGTCGTTCACGAGATCAAACATGGGACCGTGGCCCCCGGGATAGAACACGGCGTCGAATTCGTCAGCGGCAGTGTGGGAGATATCGGAGAGCTTCTTGGTGTTTTGGTAGAGGGACTTGTGCTCTTTGATGAAGTTCATGGAGGAAGCGTCCGCTTTGCTGGCCTCGATAGAGGCTGGGTCGACGGGAGCTTCTCCACCTTTGGGTGAGGCGAAGGTGAGCTCTGCTTTAGAATGGAGGACTTCCCAGGGGTGAACGAGCTCCGGCTGGTTAAAAGTGAGATTGAATTTGCGTTAGAAATGAAGGATATGTGATGATCATGGGAACTTACCAGATACCACCCAGTTTGTTTGCCGCTGGTCATTTTGTCGGTGGACGTAAGAACAATGAGGATCTTCGGTGCCATTGTGGAAGATTTGATTTCTATGGGACGGTACAAGATGAATTATTCTACTTATGAACACAGGTTCTCAAGACGATGAGGATTATGATTCAGGTACAATGGAGATAGGATTGCGATGAAGATGAAATTTCAGAACGAGTGTCGAGACTCATGATATATATATAATGTTCCCTTGATATTACTTTCTTAACCGCGATGTGCGGGGCAGTTTATCGTCTGACCGAGATCAGTTCTGACGTTTTCCAAGGCCACAATACTTTCATCCTTTCAATTGTCACTACAATGGTGGTTTCTTGGGTACCGTTCTTGACGTCAGAATCCAAGATGCCCAGTCCAATCGTGAGCAGTAGTTGAAACGTATGACAAGAGCACTGGTGATGGAAGTTTGGCAACCTTATTCTCATGCATACGAGGTAGCTTCGAGGCTTTCTAAATGAACAAATAGAGAAGGGGGGGTGGCCAAGCTAAACATCTGATATCTAACACCTAGATGTGGTGATGGAGAGAAGGTGGTTCTATTTTTGGACCTGCTGGGAAATAATCTTAGTTTGTGAAGGTTATTGACATTTTTATCCCGCGAGAATGTCAGCTGAAGATACTATTTTTGCTCCCTACGAAGGCCAGTTGATCTTGAAAGTGTCCCCTCCAGCCGTGGAAGTGAAAGTATCGATTTGAAATCTCATTATGGAAGACCTTGAGATTTCCCTCCTATGAATGGAGAACGTAGTGAGCGGACGAGCCTCAATTGCAAACCTCGTTTCCTCAGGAATTGTCCCGCTAAATTTCCCAAACCGGGGAAATCTAGAGAATAATGCAAAGGAAAGACTCCTGAGGGTTACCATTTGTATTGAATTGGAAACCATCCGACATATTCAAGCTTGTGATGTTTTTCTTCTTCTCCATCACTCCTACCGCAGTGGAACATACAGAGCTTCGGCGCTGACTAAGCCTCGACGAGCTTCGCAACTTCACCTGCCACAACCACTCCAGACTCGAGCCATCATCAAGCCCAGAATCGTCTTCATCGCAACTCCTCTCATCACACCGAATCGCTCTATCAATCGACCCAGCTGGACTGTTTGGCACGATGTCTGGCCAGGCGGTAGCTGCTGCCGACCAACCGAAACTCCTCTGGAATTCCGAGAACGTCAAGGATGTCGCCGAATCCGTAGGCATCTCGAGCATCTCCGACGAAGCCCTTCGCTGCCTAACTCAAGATGTCGAGTACCGCGTCGGTCAAGTAATTGTTGAGTCGCTTAGGCTTATGAGGGCCGCCCATCGCACGACCCTTTCGGTGCAGGATGTCAATGCTGCCCTCCGCGTCCTCGATGTTGAACCGCTCTACGGCTACGAGTCGACTCGACCACTTCGATTTGGAGAAGCGAGTTTGGGTCCTGGACAACCCATCTACTATCTTGAAGATGAGGAAGTCGACTTTGAGAAGTTGATTAACGCTCCTCTGCCAAAGATTCCTCGCGACACCACCCTCACAGGTATGTTTTTGCCAATCACACATGCCTCCTCGTGGATCGTCCTCTAACCTATTTTCTCTCTCTTAGCGCACTGGCTTGCCATTGAAGGTGTACAGCCCGCGATTCCCCAGAACCCCATGCAGTCCGATTCGAGATCCAACGAACTCCTGCCCAAGGGCGCCGGCGCTAACCCCGCCTTGGCTGCGCTCGCCGGCAACGACAACCTTCCAAACCGGCCCCTCGTCAAGCATGTAGTCAGCAAGGAAATGGTCCTCTACTTTGATAAGATCCAAGCTGCACTTCTCGACGACAACCCAGACGAAGAAGTTGTGCGCCTCCGCCAGGCTGCTCTCGCCTCTGTCCGGGACGATCCCGGTATCCATCAGCTTGTTCCTTACTTCATCAACTTCGTCTCCGACCAGATCACCCACCACCTCGACGACGTCTTTGTGCTCCGTCGCATGATGGAACTGACGGCGGCCTTGATCGCCAACGAGACCCTCTTCCTCGATCCCTACGCTAGTCCGCTGTCCGCTCCTGTTCTCACCTGCCTCCTGTCCCGTAAGCTCGGATCGGAGGACGGCACGGATGCCATCAGAGAACAGTACCAGCTACGAGAGTTCTCCGCTTCTCTCGTCGGCGAGCTGGCGCGCCGATACTCCGCTTCCAACCCACTCCTCCGATCGAAGCTCACGCGGACTTGTCTCAAACACTTCCTTGATCAGTCTAAGCCTGCTCCCGTCCTGTTCGGCGCCATCGGCGGACTCGCTGCGGCAGGCGGCCCCGAAGCTGTGCGACTAATCGCGCTCAAGACTCTGAAGAGCGTCAACGACGCCATCCTCCACCCCCTCAAGGACAAGCCCGAAGCTAAGCTAGACTTTGAGATGCTCACGGGCGGAATCGTCAACGCCATTTCCCTCATCTCGAGCGATCAGATTTCCCTCGGCACCACGGCACCCACGACGAACGGAACCATCTCCGACTCGGATCGCACCGACCTTGTCGACTTCCTGGGTGACATCATCGCCCAGCGCGTCGTGGCCCTGGGCAATCATCAGCTCGTCAAGAAGATTCTCGAGGTGAGATTCATCGAATAGACCTCGGTGAACTCCGTGGTTACGTTTTTGGAGAAGCGCGAGGAGGAAAATGTTATGTTCGATGAAGCGATGCGCAGACTTGCGCTGGAGTTTGGCGTCCTGGATATTGAGGATGTGGAGGAGCCGGAGATCATGTACATTAATTACTAGGCGCAGACAGCTGCCGGCGGAGGGAAATTTGATACCAGTGTTTGTCTAAGCATTCGGGAAGTTACGGATAGGAAATGATATTAGGAGATAAGGCGTTCGTTCAGCTTCAATAAAAGTTGCATTGATCATTCGTGTTTCCCTACTTGCACTCTACGTATGTCAGCCACATTTCCGTGATGTCGGCTGTCGACTTTAGCCAAGTATTAATTTACTGCGGGCAAGTTATGATATCGGTGACAGGTTTAGAAATATTTGTTTTTTTTTTTTTTTTTGCCATTCTATTTTGACGTATGGTCTGGACAATACAGGCGCCTCTTGTAATAACCCAAGGAAAAAAAGTACACGTGCATTCCAACACCATACTGGCCTGGAACCAACCCACACCTACTTGCTCATTGCCCCTTGAGCCTCTCTCGCCATCTCGTTCCGTTTTACCCATACATCCCGTCAAACTCGCCGTCCTTTTCCCATTACCCCACTCCAAACAGAAACCCCGCGGAATTTTTTTCTTCCTTTTGTGTCTCGTTTACCACAAGAATCCGAGGCCAAGAGCCGTAACGACCGACGAAGCAGTCAAGATGGTCGCCCACTTCGAAATAGTAGGCTTAGCGAAGCCCCACGCCATATCGTACGTAAGATGCCTGATGCCGTTGAAGAGGTGATAGACGAAAGGCCACGCGATGATGGACTTGAGGGTACCCTTGGTGAAGACGCCGAGGCCGGCGAAGGCCTCAACGAGGGCCGAGGACTCGATGTGCCAGCCGAGGAGAGGGGAGGCGAGGTAGACGATGCTGTAGCCGTAGAGGGCACCGGCGAGGGCGCTTCCGGTGATACGGGTCCAGATGGAGGCGCCGAACCAGGTCTGCTCGGGGCGGTAGATTTGGAGGTGGGGGGAGACGGGGCGGATCTTGCGCTGGGCGACGAGGAGGGCTTCTTCTTGGTCGGGGGTGAGCTTCTCGGTCACGATGGCGGCGCTGGGGAGGATGGGTTAGCCCAATTGATCTATTTGCGTCTGGGGAAAGAGGGTTATTTACCGAGATGGCGTGGAGGTGGAGAGGCGAGACGCAACGGCGAGCCTGGGCACGTTCTGCGTGAAGGAGACGTTGGGTCGGATAGCCGCTCCTGTAAAATGTCAGTGATTCATGAAAGAAATCCAATTGAGTCCTTTGCGGGTCCCTTTCCAGTTCATCCGGAGGAAGACGCGCAAGTTCTGGGAGCTCTTGGTATTTTGTAACGCACCTCGTCGGAGAGCCGACAGTCCCACCCTTTGAGCAATCATGGCGACTGGATACTAGAAACCTCGCAGGTCTTACAGATAAGAAGTTGAACTGGAAGACGCAGAGAAATTGCTGCTTGGGAGAGGATCGCAGTCGTGAGAGAGGACAAAGTGCAGGGTGGTAGGAAGCGTGCTTTAGTTCCTCTCCAAGAAGTTCAGATGCTTGCCTTTCGAGGTTTCGAGGCCCCAGAGGTCCGATGGTGATGTGACGGAACATTAAATTCGGCACCTCGGTCCAAAGCAGCCAATCGCCTCCCATCAATTGTCAACATCTTCCCACGTGATATATCACATGATTTAACTCGGAACTTCCCGGCTTCTTGCTGACTGGACACGGCCTGTGCTGCACGGGCTTTCATCTTTTGGCTTGTGATTTTGAATTTTCTCTTCTTCTCTTCTTCTTTTTCTCCAATATGAACGGCCCTGTCGTCTGGAATTAGGCCCACTTGTCCAAGTGAGTGTCCATGGCATTTTCTGCTCGGCGACAACAGCATTCTGCTGTCTTCAGGGGTTGTTCTGAGACCAATCTGGAGTTTCTGGAAGAGTCCGTTTGATCACGATCCCCGGTTTTCTTTTCGTCTGGTGGTCGTTTCATTCACGCGACCTACATTTCGTCCTCGATGCTGCGTAGTTGACCTGTAGACAATGTAACCATGTCTTTGGCGTTGAAAGACATGGAGGTCTATAGAAGCGCTAGCTGCCAAAAACTAGCGGCTCGAAAGCGTGAAGACACAGAAGAAACTTGATGGCTACACCAGATGTCTATTGCTAACACTGAAAAGGAAAGAAAATAAAAACCTGTCCTCGACTGAATGGCGATTGTAAAACGACAAGAGAAGAAGAAATGCAAGAAAACATTGATAATGCCACTGAAAACTCGCACAAGAAAAATGAAACTCGACACGAGTATATGCTGGTACAAGAACGAGAACTAGAAGCCTCTCACAAAAAAAGGAAAAAAATCCCGCTCGCCAGATCAACGCACCACTATTTTTTTGGACTGTCCTTCACACCAATGCCTCTTTTTCACTCCTGTTTTTAAGTCGGGCCATCGTTTCTTCACGAGGCCACTGTAATACAAGCAAGACACCACCCTCCCCGTTATGGGGGCCATAATCCTCAACCCATCCCTCAAAAGTTAAAACAAGGAAAACCCCCTCCCATCCATCATGATAAATAAGTTCCGTCCCAGGGGTTAAAAACAGAGAAAAGGAAAAAGGGGAAACTCGCGCTATTAATACTTCATGTTGTACAAGAGGCGTCCTGCTCAAGCGCCGTCGAGCAACGCATCCATGCCATTCCGCTCCCTCTCCAGAGAATCGGCAGTGACGCGCGGATCGCCACTGGTCGCTTTACTCCTCCTATCCTCATCGTCCTGGTTCGTAAGGTCAACGAACATCTTGTCGACCTCTCGCGGGTCCTGGTGCTCGGTGGACGGCCCGACGACGTTAACATTACCACCGCGGCCGCTGAAGAAGCCGCCCTCACGCCTCCACACATCGGGGCCGTAAACCTCCTCAGCTTTCCTCAGGCCCCAATCCGTACGCCGGAACACGTCCAGAGCCTTACTCTTCACCGCATCCGAATGTAGATTAACCCCATCTAAGTGGCCTCGAAGAAGCCTATCTTCGAGAGAAGGATTCTGCTCGTCCACTAGCACACGTGGGCCGCCCGGCATTAACGAGTGCATCAAGCCGCCGCCGCCGTCTATGTTCATGGGTTCGCCTCTGACTGGTTCACCGAGGGGGCGAGCGATCACCGAGTGGCCTTCATGGGGCCGCGGGTTTACAAGGCCTGGCCGTTCTAGAGGAGAGCCGCCAGCTCCCGTTCCAAACAGATGGCTATCCCGGTGGTGCGGGGTACCAAGTTCGGACATTCCTTGCGCGTGGTTTGCTGGAGGAGATCCCTGGCCGCCTTCGCGAGTCGCATAGTATCGCGCTTTTCGCCGTAAACTGTTCGCCTTGCCCTTGACATCTTCCGGTAGATCATCGGGATCATCAACGCCGTGCTGAGCCATGAGCTTCTGTAATTTCGTCGGTCGCGGCTTACGCGTACTCTTGGATTCCTGGAAAAGCGGCGGTGGTTCTTCAGCGATATGGCACCACTTGTAAAGCTCTTGACGGAAGAAATTTGTCTCTGAAACGAGGAATACTTCGGCACCCTCTAGTTTACGCAGGTAGAAGCGCTGCGTTTCCGCCTCGGCTTGCGATGAAAGCACGGGGTTGATGTAGGGAGCGATGTGATCCCGGAATGCCTGTGCATTGTCGATGATTTTTCTGAGGACTTCCTCCTCCTCTGGCTGGAAGGGAAGGTTAGGGATCTCGTCGAACCAGGCAATTAGATCCTCGAGCCTCGGCCGCGCGGCATCGCGGGGAATGCGGACCCGATGGTCACAGATTGGACAAGTCCAGGGTGCCTTATCGTCGTCCTTGACTTTGCCTCGAGCAATCTTGAGACATTTCCCATGGTACCTAATAATTTAAGTTAGTAAGGGGAGAGATAAAGAAAGAAAAGAGACAATGGTAACCCACCATTCATGACAGATGCCGCATTCAATCATCATCCCCGCTTCAACACGACGGCACAAGCAGAATACTTCCCTATCCGGATCCTCCCAACGCTTCTGCTTCGTGGCGGGACTCGGCTCCCTCGACGCAGGCTCGGCGGGATCCCGGGGCTTATCGTGGACAATATCAAAGCAGTCAAGGTTGCGGCCCAATACGTAGTCGAGGTGGCTTTTCAGGATATGAAGCGGCGCATTCGACTTTCCGAACAGCTTCTTGCCCTGGCGCATCCAGTCTTCATGCCTCTTCTGCTCCCTCTCCAGATCCGACGTTCCACTCGGCTTAGAGTTGAGCTCTTCGAGACGCTTCATGATGTCGCACACCTCACCGTACTTGGGGCGACCTCGGAAGTCGGGATTGCGGGACCTTTGCGTGAGATCGAGAATTTGTCGGTGGGCGTCGCGCTGCTTCGACAAGATCTGCTCGACACGGGCTAGCGTCTGTTTCGTAACTGGGATCACGTTAACCTGAACCTGAGTCGAAAGGGCCTCGAGCTGGGGATAGTGGATAATTTCCGCAGCAATTAGTTCTCGCGCTTTCTTCTCCCACTGCTGGCCCGCAAGCATTTTCTCCGTGTAATACGTCAAGTAATCGTTATAGGGAGGAATTTCGAGCCTCTTTCCCTCTTCAATGAGCTTCTCTACATCGTTGAGGGTCATGAAGAGGCTTCGGCTAGCAAGCGCCTTTTCATTCCACTTCAGTTGATCCAGAACCCGGGAAAGTCTGTCAACTTCTTCCATGTCGACATTATAGTTACGGCCCTCCTCAAGTAGGTCTTCAATTTCTTGAACGCCTTGGGACTGCACGTGCTCGAGCGCACGCTGCGCATTCTTCTGGAATTGCTCGATAGCGTCGGCACGTTCTTGAAGCTGAAGAATCTCGGGACAGTCGAACCCAATCTGCTCAGCCTCCTGGAGCAGGCGGTAGATGTTGGAAACATCGCGATCCTTGTCCTTTTGCTCGGGCGATGACCCGCCAATAGACTTCCTCTTGCCACTCTGCCAGGTCTTGTCGTTCTTTCGGCGGTTTTGCTGTTTGCGGATAGTGTAGTTCATAGCCTCATCTACCCACTCATTGCAGCGATCAACAAACTCGCGCAGAAGAGGCAAAGACGGAAGATCGTAGGGAATCTTCTCACCCTCATGCAACAGTGCCTTCAAAGTCTTCAGCGCGGGAACAGCCTCCTCATCGAGGAGCTTCTCGTACTTCTCTTCCCAGGCTTCCGGCGTACGAGCCTTCTCGGCAACTTTGTGGTAAACAGTATCCATGTCCTCTTCAGTCTTCCTATATATGAGAACATGGCCCTTCCCATTGAACCGCTGTACTTCGGTCGCATCGCAGCAAGCATGGTATCCGGCGTGGAGAAGGCACAGGGTCTTGCCCGTCTTGTTGCACTTAAACCTCGATAGGTAAGTGAAGGCTTTGCAATAGGCGCACTGGTATTCCTCTTCGGCGACGTCGGTGTCATCCACAACGCATTCGAGTGGGTCAGATGAATCCCTGTTCCCTTCCCCACCCCGGACTCTCATCTCCTGGTGTTTGGCCATGAACGCCTCACGGTGCGACTTTTCCCTTTGGTGGAGTCGGTCAAGGGCCGGAGCCAACCATTTCGCCGTCTGGATGGTCAGAGCCCCACTTGTCGTACCCTCTGCTGCAGTCCAGAGCAGCTCATCGTGTGAGAAACAGGGTTGGCGTCGGAAGAGCTGCAACCTCTCCACCCCAGCAAGGCCGAATGGCTCCCAGTCGCAAGGCGCAAAGTTGACGGCTTCGTTAAAGTTGAAGCCGTGGTTGAAACCAGCATGGTAAGCTTGAGGGAATGTAATTACGAGCTCGCCTGCTCGCTGGTCGACCGCATACACCCTCACACCGGCCTTCTTAAGTTGCTCCGGTGTCAAAAGAGTCACCAACTGGAAGAGAAGGTCGGGTTGCGTCTCGAACAGCTCAGGCACAGCCTCTCTCATCGCCGCCTCAAACCTTTCCGCGTCGTCTCCGGGAATACCATACCAGGTCTTGGTATCGCCAAAGTGCTGGTAATTCGCGGAGTAGGAGTAGTGATCCTCGTTATGCCAGCAGAAAGTGGAGAAAATCATGCCCACGTAGACCCAGGGAACCGTCATTCCGGAGATATCGGATTTGATATGGCGGAAGAGACTGTCGGGATGAAGGGGTAGAAGATTGAGATTCCAGGGATCGAGAGAGTAAGGGTTGTTGGGATACTTCTCAATTGTCGGGAAACCTGAACCGTGCGTCGTACAGTGGATATCAGCACCGTACTCAACTTCGACGGTCTCTTCAATATCGGTAACCAATCTCCAGAACTCCCGTTCAACATCGTCCTCGGTGATAGGCTTGGGGCCATTCGTGCTCGAGTCGAGAGGAATTTTCTTCTCGAAATAGCCGGCTTTGAAATCGGCAGCCTTCTGCTGGAATTGCCGCAGGGAATAGAGCCCGCCCTCTTCAAATCCGAATTGACCGTCGCCTACGAGACAGCGAGGACAGTTCCAACCTGATTCGGGCTTTTGCTTAACGGGAGGGTCAAGGCAACCGTCGTGATAGGAGTGGTCGCAGGTTTCACAAGTAAGAAGCCCGGCCTTCTCTTCAAACTTGCCACACTGATCGCACTTTGGGGCGGAAGAGCACGCCGGTTCCTCTCTTGGTACCCGGGGGACTGATGGCCTGAACTGAGACATATGGGAACCAGCGACTGTGGGCACCGCTTCCTTCTTTAACCTCTTGCTTCTTCGACTACCGCTATCTGCTTCCTCCTGGTCGACACCGGCGGCGGCGTGGGACTTTCTCAAGGAGTCGGCGCTGTCGCAGCTGAGCTGTCGCTTCAAGGAAGTACCTTGGGAAACAGCTGAAGATCGATGCTCCGGTGTATTTTTTGATGTTGTGGTGAGGGGACTGCCGAATTGCTTCTGGGGTGTCGGCGCTCTAGATTGCGGGGCGGAAACATTTGGCTTGTTGAAGCTAGTAAAGCCGCCACCGGAATTCACGGCAGTGAAACCGCCACCCGAGTTGATAGCGGTAAACCCCCCAGAAGACGACGCAGGCTGCGGTGCCTCAGGAGCATCGGTCATGGTGGCATCACCGTCGCCCTCCTTCTTGACACCATTGATAGTAGCCTGAAGAGCATCGGTAGCCTGGCGAGCGGGAGAGTTGCCTCTAGCGCCGGACGGCGTGTTCACCTGAGAATTTTTCGCGGGGGTTGGAGCCGGGCTGGGAGTAAAAGGACCGCCGTATTCGAGTTCGAGCTGATGATGAACGCCAGGCTTGGCCACGCGTAAAAAGTCCTCGTACGGGCAAAGCCACTTTTGATACGAGTTCTTTAAAGAGGTGGACAAAGACGACATAATCTTGCCACTATAGCCGAGGTCTCGCCCAATTTCCGCCCATTTTTTGTGCTTGCACACTTTATCGAAACCACCACGCGCCTCCACGGCCTTCTTGAGGCGGTACAGGTCGAGAGGCTTCTTGTCGACATAAGGGACACGACTAGGGTTATTGCCTTGTTGCTTGTGAAACTTGTACAGTCCGTCTGTGTAGGTCAAGTTCGCGCGAGTACCTGAGGCGGAAAATCCGTCAGCCAATGCAGGTCGCATGATGTCTGTTAGTGACAAAACACTTACTTCCTTCCACGGAATTCAACTCTTGTTTTCTAGTTCTAAAGTGAAATTTCTACAGAATCGCCAAGTTAGTACTGGACACCTGGACCCGCGGCGCAACATTTTGGTTGACTGTAAGGGGGACGGAGAATGTCGATCGCGGGACTCCTCACGCTCATTTGACGCACCTCTGTATCGATTGCAAAATCCGGATTCCAGGAATCAGGGGGTATAATTTTACAGATACCGTATTGCCTCGCTTCGGGGGATATTTTCTTCATGTACTCCATTGGGTCTTTCCACTCCTCGTCGGTCGGGTAGTACGTTGGTGCATCCTGCAGACCATGCAGGCGGTTCTTCTTAGGTGGCGGGCGGGTTGTCGCGAGCCGGCCTCGCCGCTCCACAGTTGACAGATCTAATGGGGCGCTCTTCATCGAACTCAGGCGGGCCTGAGAGGTGGTTGGGTGGTAACCGTTGGAGTTGACTTGCGCAGTCTTTATCTTTCCGGAAGCTGTCGCGCCCGTGGCAGGCGAAGCGCGTGAACTAGCATTCACGCTGCTTGTACCCCCACTAGCGCCTGCGGAGGGTCGGCCTGATCCTCCTGCCATAATTGCGGAGGTATGAAGGGGGGAGGTTATGTGTGGACCGAAGAAAAGACGGGGGGGGGTTGCGAGGGACGCGGTAACGAGAACACGAGTAGGAAATTAAGCGGAACCGTCGAGTCGCAGCGACATTCTCAGACAAATAAGAAGATTTATGCGTGATGGGAGTCTACGCTCGGTGCATGGCAGAGGGACGCCTAGTCAAGGGGCACGTAAAGCGTGGGAAGGCGGAGTGTGGTGCGCGTGGAAGGGCTCGGAATCGGAAATTCGAAGCCGCAATGTCGTGTCATTCGTTGGCCGATCAGGGTCGATAGGAGGGCGAGAAATGATCGAACGACTTCAATCTCAAACTTGTCGACGTTGACTGCATGAAAGGATGGAAGGAGAGAGTCGAGGTTTAAGCGCTTTGCTGTCTCGGCAAACTAAACCAATGTTGCTTAGTTGGTAGTGGGTGATAGGAGACCGGGAGGGAGATTATCTCGAGCCCGGCGCACTGAGCAGAATTGGTATGGGTGGGCCGAAGGGGAAATGTAAATCAAGGTAGACAGAATCAAAGTTCGAGAGATTCGCAAAGAGGCCACCGGCAGTCGTCGGGGAATGAGAGTGAAGGGATCTCTCGTGGGCGAAAAGGTGATAAGGTGAAAGAGGAAGTAAGGTGGGATTAGGAAGGTACATGTGGAAGAAGGCAGTGATGGAGGTCAAGGTATTATTAGGAAAGAGAACGACGAGGAAGGCAAGACATAAGCAGGGAATACAAGAATACAAGTCCACGGTCACGGCAATAGTGCCAACGGCGGGTCCAAGTTTGGTCGGCGGGTGCGATTGAGCGAGCATTGAGCAGGTGTGCAACGAGGAGTCTCCTCATGTACCAGAACCGGATGACAAGTGTACAAACTGTACTGCAGATGGACCAGTAACCTTTATTATCAGCAGACACCCGGCATTTTTATGTAGCGCCGCCTCAATGGGACAGTGCAAGTACGTGAGGCTAATCCCACACTACGCCGGAGTACAAGCGCTGTCAGAATTTCGGGACGCAGCACAAAATAGGTGCCTCATTTTCTAACGACATCTTTGACTGCACCACGACACGACAAACTCCACCACCGAAAACACACCCACACACACTCACAGCATTGACACATTGTCCCACGCCATGCTCCATCTTGCCTGCCCAAGATTGAGTGTGAGTACCTACATCGATGCCTCGAACAGGCGAACAGGTGAACTGGCGAGCAGGCGAACAGGCGAGCAGGCGGCTGTTACAACAGATGCCCCAATCAAACAATGACACTGTGTACCTCGGATATTCCCCTGCTTTCATAACAAAGTGCAGTGCAGCCGATATTGGCAACTTCATTACGAGCGACAAGTCGTACGTGGGGTTGGAGTGAGCTAGGACAATTATTGTCGGATTCGAAGGAAGGCTGCGACAATGGCTTAGCCCCCCTCAACATCAATCGATCTCTCCACCAGGCAAATGGGCAACCTCACGCTCTAGGATTCGGAGTTAGCCCTCCTCAAAAGCACAATCGCAGCCAGTGGCATCAAACAAGACCGAGATCTAAAATCTGCCGACCGTCCAAAAAATTTATCCACGCTAGTGGATACAAAAACTTTCGTTCCATGTTTGAAGAGAGCTTATAATTCATGATACTTGTCGCCATGTATCAGTCCCTTCGGATCGGAGGGCACAAGAAGGATCAATCCATGACGAGATCTAGAACTACGCGCCCGATCAGGTGGTGGCACTACTGCAGATGAAGTTCCTCTAACGACTTGGCGTTGTGCAAAGCTGTTGGTAGGAAGTACAGGTACCACAGAGTTGCCCCATGCTGGGTATCTATCTAGCGTCCGTCGTACTTCACGACATGTCGATTCTGAACGCATTGAATCACCCTGACTCTAACACCGATGAAAAATCGTGGCATCATCACGCGCTACCTTTAAGTAGGATGGGTAAAATACATATATACAAGAAAAAGAAAAACCTTACTTCATAGTAATAAAAAGAAAACTTCCCATCACTTAATCCACTTTGAATGGGAAAATCTTGGGGATTATGCCCGGCGGAAGGTGTGGGCGGGAACCTGTTCCGCCCCAATTCCCCGTGACTTTTCCCAGAACGTGAGAAAAAAAAATCGATGGTCCGTATCACCCGCTGGCTAACTTTTCTGATATCGACGACTCATCATGCAAGGGTCGGCTTAATGAGCCAGAACGGTGGACCAATCACAGGCGACTGACGTTCCTCGAGTCCGACCCTGCAATGTGCCCAGACCACTGTGGGGAGAAGAAAGAAATCGCTGAGTCAGCTACATATTTCCGACATCCAATGTAGAAATCAATTCAATGCCACCCATGGTCATGGATCAATTCGATGTTTCAAAGGACGAGGTCATTTCTCGAAGGAAGAGAGGTCAAACCTCGTCAAACAGATATCAAGGCTTTTGAAATGACGCCGCCAACAGTGTTCAGGTTCGAACAAAAAAAATTGGATTGATTGATCTCTTTACCAGCCAGATATAAGTCAAAGAAAAGCAGCGTACATTATTAGGTGCCCAGATATTTCACTTATCTACTTCGTAGTGTATAAACAAACCCCCGGGCCTGGAGAGCCTCTTCATGATCACCACCAAGCAGTCGTACATCGTATCGTAGCCATCGTAGCCATTCATAAAAATAGGGGAATAAATCTACTCGATTTTCTTTGCCCTCTTCCTCGTCTTCAAGAGCTTTTCAATCTCTTTCGGATCTCTGACCCTCAAACTCAGCTCCTTCATCATCTCTGCCCACCGTAGAGGGCCGTTACAGGAGGGGCATTTGCCATGTAGAGGTAGCACTGCGCCCACCGAGTTGTCTCCCGCCAGCAAGTGATGACTCCAGCAAGTTAAATGACCAACCGCTTCGCATTCTTCATTTGGGCAGACAGCGTAGAGGCCCTCGCCTGGCGGCATCTCGTCACCGCAATGCACGCAATTCCCTTCCCTCTCAAAGGTGAATATCGCATTCGCCTTTTCAACATAGCATTTAAGTGGCTTATAATCCAAGGCAAGGGAATGGATGCCCCAGGGTTCTTGCTCCTTTGCCTGGCTCGATGACCCCGTCGTCCGACTACCGCTGCTCAAAGCTCCGTGTCCAAAATCTTTTTCAACGATGACGCCCAGCGGTATTGGTTCGTCGCTTTCCGAAATCCACTTTTCCCAGGCCGCATGTGCGTCTTTGTTGAAGAAATGGAGCGTGAGTGGCCATCGCACGAAGCTGGGTACCCCGAGCAGCAGGTGGAGGTTCGAGAACACGGAGACAAGGCTCAGGCGCGGCCGTTTGAGTTGCCCATTCTTCTTCCTCTGCGTCGAAATAGATATTCGAGCCTCCGACGGTATGTGGAGAGATAAATGCGGGTTTGTGAGAGCCCATCTCGTAATTTGTTAATTTTTCGTTTATTTCCGGACAAAATGAAGAGACTCACTCGAATTTGAGAGCGGCCAACATTCCCGGAAATCCAGATATTATCGCTACCATTTCCCACGGCCGCAAACTGGCGCGCGACGTGCGCGCCGCGCCGCCCTTCACCTCGCCATTGTGCTGTTTCAGTCGTCGTGGCGGATTCGGTGTGGATCCGATGTACAGCGACGCGTGTCGGACGGTTGATCGAAGAATGTAGACCGTGTACAGGGCCGGGATAGGTTTAACCAAGGCAGACATGCCTGATGAGAGGCTGTTGAAATATGGTTTCCCATTTCACATCCACTTCGTCGACGCGAGTTTACTTCGTGAGGCGAGGAACACAAGTGTGGATTGTGACGCGGTGGGGTGAGTTTGATTGATGGTGTGGCTTAGGTAGTAGTTTACAATGAACACTAAGGCGGTTGCTGTGGTGAGGCTCAATTGGACCAAACGCTCAAGTGCCGCCCAAGCACATTCCTGAGCCTTAAGCTTTTCATTCCCATTATTTCATCCAAGCCGCCTTTGACGAAGGGCTGTTATTTGCAGAAATCGGTTTACTCAGAGTTAAAATATAGACCTCAGCAGTATACCATCAATAAGACAGAAATCTTGTTTAGGTAGGAGACCAATATTAGGAAATTCATTCATTTCACTCACATGTAAACAGCAAATATCAGTTGAGCGACTTTTTTGGTTTGAGTGGCTTTCTGACTAATCCTAATTTTGGGGAGGGACGGATACCTCTTTGACCAGCACGCCCAAATATTTGATCGAGCATAAGCCTTTCGTTCAACGTCACTCGGCTGCAGTTCTGTTATCTCACTCCATGCCTCCAAACTCATCTCTCCTCTATGAAAATCCCTCTTGTCCATTATGGAGAATTCTGATCCTCCTCCACCCTACCCGGAGCTAGAAGCAGGAGATAGATTTACCGATCATGACGGCGAGCAGACCAGCACTGTTCTACCCCTAGTAGAGAAAGATTTGGCAGCTCATCCCCACGAGCATGTTTTGCTTGCGACGACGTCAAATGTCTTCCCAGCAGCAATTCATTTCTGGACTCGTGCTGAGGAGAATTCACCTACATATTCGCTTCGTAGCGTTCAGACTCGGCTCGGCTCGGACAGCTTAGAACTAGTTCAAGGCTTTCGAGAACTTGGAGAGTGCCACCTCCGCGACCCACTGATCAGTAGACACGAAACTGTAGCTCGCTTCTTAGAATCCATGGTCGCTTCAGCACCCGTGGCAGCTTCATCCGATTCGGAGGGGCTCCTTGCGTGGATCCAGGAATGGCTCGCTTCCTTGGGTACTATTCAAGAGAGCTCGCTAGCCCCTCAGGAACCCACGGCGGCAGCCGTTAAGGTGGTCGCTATTCCCGTCTTCAGAAACAGCAGGGATCCCCTCTTTACAGGCGGGCCGCACGCCATCTGGAAATGGGTAAAGCCTTCGAGCTTATATAGGAAGTCGGGTGCCTGGGAGTTGAGAATAGACGATGCTCTCACGGATGGAGAGTGGTCAGCGGGGAAGGGGCTACAGCTGCTCGTGGGAGGTATTTCCAG